GAGACAGAAAGCGAGAAATCACCCCCCAGGGGGGATTGTCACGCCGCAATCCCTTCTCCTCCATTCTCCTCTCGGGATCTTGGGCACGCACGCACATGCGCCCGGTGTGAGTTTTAAGCCACCGGGTCCGGGACACGAACCGCGGTCGACTACGTGGGAGTCCAGCGACATAGCCATTACGCTAACTGCTGGTTCCCTTGTTACCTCTTTACCTCAACCTGACTAACCTACTCTCTTCACTTTATCACAGCCTCGTTTGGCCCTTCTCTGTTACCCACCCCTCTTTCCTGGGGCAGCCATCACCACCAGAATGCCCTGACGAAACAGCCCAGATGGGTTCTTGACTGGCCAACTGGGTGTGTTTCTATAGAGAGACCATGAGAAACATGGTGGGAAAAGTAGAGCACACTAATTATGGGATTACTAGTCATTCCCTATATAATTCAGATATAGAGTTTGTTCTAATAAATTTTGTGGAGTAGAAACCACTGTTGGCTTGGGGAATGGAACCATTTTGGTTTGAATTCTGGCTCCTTGGGTGGGAGCCAAACTTCTCTGTATTCCTCATCTGTAAAATGGAAACAATAACTAAATCTACCTCACAAGGTTGTGATGAGGATTCAAAGAGCTAATTTATGGAGCAGGTGGTATGGTGGTTAAGGTACTGGACTCCCATGTGGCCAACCACGGTTTGAGTTCTGGACCTGGAACATGATGGGCGTGTGTGTGTGTGTGTGTGTGTGTGTGTGTGCGCACATGCGCCCCCCCAAATCCCAGGAGGATCCATTCTCTTCCATTCTCCTCCTGGGATGTTGGGTACACACACACACACACACACACACACACACACACACACACACATTGTGATTTTCAAGCCACCAGGTCTGGAGCATGAACCGTGGTCAGCCATGTGGGCATCCAGTACCCCAACGACCACACTACCTGGTGGCCTCTACAATATGTATGTGTTAAAGGAAGGAATAAATAATCAAACACATTTGCTTTTTTCTACATTAAAAAACTTAATAAAATCAGGGTGATTGGGGGAAGGGCATCTGCATCAGAGAAAAGACTACCAAGAGTATTTTTCATGAAGTTTAATTTTTACTCTCAAGTACGTATGGTTAACTTGAGCAAAACTGATAACCTTTTTCTAAACCCAGTTGTCATTAATGAATAAACAGGACCCGCCTATGATTAGCAGGGCTATTTGCATATAAATGCCTGATTGTCAAAGGTCTATGTTTACAAACAGTTCTGATCAGGTTCAACAGGCAGGTCCCAACTCTGGCTGCCAGGTGCATGTTTTAACCACCTGAAAGCTACACACATTACAACTGCCCCTCAGGCATCTATACTCCAGTAGCATCTTCTAGTGAGAACCAGCTTATCTGTGTGTGTATATATATATGTATATGTATGTATGTATGTGTGTATATATATGTATATATGTATGTTTGTGTGTGTATACACACACACATACATACATACATATACACATATATATGTGTGTGTGTGTGTGTATGTATATATATTAGTTTTGGTGTAGGGTGCATGTGTACACTTAAGAGAGACAGTGATAGAGAGAGGGAAAGTGAGAAATCCCCCCCCCCGGGGGGGGGGAGGATGGCTACACCTCAATCCCTTCTCCATTCTCCTCTTGGGATTTTGGGCATAAACACACATGCACCCTGCATGTTTTTTAAGCCACTGGGTCCGGGACTTGAACCAGGCAGTTGGCCAGGTGGGATCCAGCACCTTAGCCACTATACCACCAGCTGGTCCATTATCTGTATTTTTTTTTTTTTTAAAGATGAGTAGAGATTGTTGAGAGCCCCTAGGTTAAACATTTCTCTCCAGCCAATTCTTTTCTTTTTGAGATCAGATCAAAATACATTTCAGACCAAATGAATGAAGTTTATTGAGTTTATAAAGACAAAGGAAACTGGGGTGTGGGGGCTCTTTTCGTGACTTTCTATGACACTGTTTTGAACAGGCCAGGGGAAGAAGCAAAGGAGGTGAGGCAGCCAGCCAGGTGGTCAAAGATATTTACCAACAGCCTCCATGTCAGCACTGTTCTGAGTGCAGGGGTATAACGAGATAAAGCAATGTATATGGCAGGCGGGGTTCTACCATCTTGGCGTTTACACACTAGTGGAGGTTAGAGTCAAGCAACCTCCAAACGAGATTAGTTCAGGTCCTGAGAAGAGTAATGAAGAAGGCACATACAGGACGATTAATGAGATCAATGGAAGTGATTAGTGGAGGTAAGTGGGGCTGAGAGTAGTGACAGGGGAGCTGCATTAGCCAGGGCAGTGAAGGAAGGATTCATGGAGAAGGTGAGTTTGAGTTGCGATCTAAATGATGGGTAAGAAGGCAGCAGGGAGAAGACCTGAGGGAATGATATTCCAGGCAGAAGAAACACCAAGCGCCATGTTCCTGAGATAGAGAACAAACTTTGTGTGACTGAGAGAGAGAAAGTCTGAGTGGTTGGAGAGCAAAGTGAAAGATGAAGTTGGAGAAGACAGGAACTGGCTCATGTTGGTCTTGTAGGCCACTGTATAGGTCTGGATTTGAGTCTGGCTGTTCTAGACTTTACTCCAGTAGAAAACCACTGGAGGATTTTAAAGAGAGGAATGAGCACTTAGGCCACTCTGGCTAATCTGGGTAGGAGGGGCTGCAAGGAACTAGTAGAGAAAGGTGAGAAGACCAGCTAGGAGGCGGTGGCACTGCCCAGGTGGATGATGTGGCTTGACCAGGGCTTTGATGGCGGAACTGGTAAGAAATGGTTGCACTTGGGATATATGTCAAGGTAGACTGAACCAGGTTTTCCTGATGATTGAGTGTGCAGGGTAAGAGGAACCATGGTGGAGCGGGGACCCTGCCCTTACCAAAGACTTTGAGGTGGATGGACGCATCCTGCTCGCCAGCCTTGTTCTCGGCAATGCAGACATATTCCGCCTCATCGTTCTTATCCACCTTCCTGATGGTCAGCTCAGAACTGTCGTCGCTGAAGATGTACTTCTCATCGTCTTCCTCATTCTCTATCTGCTCCCCATCCCTAGGGGGCAGAAATGCCAAATGCCATGGTTTTGGTCACAGGGTAACGATATTTATTTAATTATTTATGTATTTTTTAGTTTTTGCTCTAGCGTGCCAGTACTCATCACAGAGAGAAACAAAGAGACAAAGAGAGATAGAAAAAGTAAGAAATCCCTTTCCTCAGGGGGGATGGCCATGCTGCAATCCCTTCTCCTCCACTTTCCTCTCAGGATTTTGGCTGTATACACATGCACCCAAGATGTATTTTCAAGCCTCTGGGTCTGGAACTTGAACCATATAGTCAGCCATGTGGGATCCAGTGCCTTAACCATCATGCCACTGGCTGGCTCAAGATGTTTAGTTTTAATCAGTTTCCATAAAATGCAGCCTGAGCCAATGAAGACTCAGTTGACAGAAGTCGGTTTGGACTGCACATAGACCATTTACCTGGTCCTCTACTCAAACCTCAGACTCTGTGTAATGGCTATAAACTGCTCCCATAAAGGTTTCAAAGAAAGCTCCCGCACCCCCAGCCCACATCCTCTGGTTCTACCCCATAGGACTGAAAATGAAGGCACAATCTGATACACGAAGCAAAAGAACCCTAGAGACAGTGATCTGTCTTTCCCCTGAAGTTCATATTCCTAAGAAGCCCACTCCCATTCCACTGAAATGCCAACAGGGAGCAGGCCCTGCAACGCCCTTTCCTCTCCACCCATGGCACAGGGCACAAGCCAGTTTCTTACTTGGTCCAGCTCATAGTGGGCTCTGGGAAGCCTTCAGCATCGCATACCAGGGTGACAGACTGACCGAGGTTGGCAGTGGCGTTTACAATGCTTTGCCTGGCCTGGACGGTGGGAGGCACTGAAGGAGAGAAAGATGTCAGGGGTGGTTGTGAAAGCACCGAACAACACCATGGCCTCGAGAAGTGCTTCCAGGGCCCCCAGGTCAGGAAGTTTCAGTCTGTGGGTCAAAAGTCCTGGGTGGCTGCAGAGTTAGTGTAGGGGATTTGAAGTCACATGTATAGCGAGTAATGACTAGACTGAATAAATGATTTTCCCACAAACGTACATTATTTTTGTTCAAGAGTTTAGAGCTGTAATAATACCTTTTACTATTTTAAAAATGATATTTGACTTACAGTAACTATGTCTCTGTTTATTTTGACTTATTTTTTCCATCAATGTGCAATATATGTCACAACTACCTTGGCGGGAAAAATGGGCTCTTAGATATGAGAAAAAATTGGGTCCTGCTCCTCCTGGTGGTTAAATCCTTAAGATCCGTTGGAAATGCAGAGGAGGGGGGCCTGGGGAAGGACATTTGGAGGAGGGATATGGACACAGAGCATTGACGGGACGGGGAGGTAGTGGGGTTATCTGCTGAAGATATTTTGATCAACTAGATTGGGGAGAAATGTTCACATATTGAAATGTTCACTTTGTAAGTTAAATAATGTAATGGAAGGTATAAAAAATAAATAAAAAAAAGAAGTCAAAAAAAGAAATGCACCAGCTCACCAAAGAGTGACATTTCTCTGGGACTGTCATAAACAACCTTGTGCACAAACTGTTTTTTTTTTTTTTTTTAAATTTTTTTTTTTTTATTTATTTTCAAAGGAAAGAGAGGGGGAGAATCTGGCAAAAAAAAAAAAAATATGTATCAATAGCCAAAACAATTCAACCATGATTTACTTATTTTCTTAGTACTGACATTATGATTTCCTGTAAACATCTTGTAAATGTCAGATCGATCCCACGGGCATGTTTATTTGACACTGCAAATTGAGATTAATAAGCCCATGGACCATGATTCTGAATATGTGGAGGCCTGAACTGACTGTAATATTTTCTTAGGACATTGGAGCAGGGGACTAACTTCACACTTAGGGGAACACCAAGGCCAATGAGGACGAGTACAAACTTACTAGTCAGCGTGGGGAAACTTTCTAGGGCCTCAGAGTCCCCAGAGTTGGGGAAAACCAAACAGGCAAGTATATTCAAACAAAACACAAGAAAACCAAAAAACCAAAAAAAAAATCCAAAACCTCAGAGCTTATGGTAGGAAAGGGATTCAGCTGAGATGGATGAATGAGTCAGAACACTAATGATTATTCATAGGCCAAAAACGAAGTTAAAGAGAACGATTTTGGGGAACCAAGGTTGTAGCAGTGGACAGCACAGAAGCACCCGTCTCCTCACCATTCACAACGACCTGAATGTCCTTGAAGTTGATCTCCCCCCGTGCCAGGATTCTGCCCTCACAGCGGTAAGTGCCCTCGTCTGTTTTCTTGATGCCGCGGATCTGCAGGTAGTTGTTGGACAGCACTATGAATCGGACTAGAAGAGACAAGAGGCAGATTCGCCCAAGGGTCAGTCAGAGAACTTTGGTATCTGCAGGCAGGTGGGTGAGTCTCTTCCCCTGTTTTGGAGTTGTCATAAAGAACCCCGTGCACAAACTTCAGTTTTATAGGGTGAGAGCTTTCAGCTGAAATAAGAAAATGTGTCCCTGGCTCAGAAACATAGCCAAGAATAAAAGTCTATTAGAAATGGGTCTCTTGCTTTGGAGAGTAAAACCAAGTGCCTGGATGTACCAGCTACTGACATCCATCCGTTCAGAACCTGGAAACTGCGTGTGTGTTTCAGAACTCTGACTTTGGATTGAACGCCTCAGGGGCTGGCAGAGGCAGCAAGGCCTTGGGGAACTCACCGTCTTTTTTCAGAATGACATCTCGGCCTTTGTGTTTCCAGATGATGGTTGGGGGGAGGGAGCTGACCACATCGCACACGATCACAGCATCTTCTCCCTCTCTGAACTCCTGAGGGGTTGGTGCATTCTTGAACATGAGCTTCTCTGGAAAAGGAGCAGAGAAAGAGTGAAGAAATTTAGCTGGTCCCTTTCACCAGAGCCACACTGCCTGGTCTTGGGTCCCAGGCAAGTCTCAATCCGGATATACAGTTGTACGAGAGAGGCTGCTTGGCCCTAGTTGCCAGGTGGAGCAGCTGGCACAAGTAGGGGAATATGTCCTTGATGTTTGGCAACCAGCATCTACTCCCTCTATGCCAACTGATCACACTTAGCGCAGAGAAAGGTGTACAGAATGAAAGGAGTGTCTCCACCAAGGGTTCCTTGCCATGTGGGATGATGCCAATGGAACACACGCACAGGTAGGATCAGTTGGCAGAACACCCGTTGTACAATGGACAGAAGGACCATCAGTTCTTTCTCTGTTTCCCACTCCTACCCCTACCCGAGACCCCCACCTCAACTTTCCTACAGCAGAGAGAGTTTAGAAGGGAAGCACACAAGAAAGGCATGCTTAATGGCAATAAATCCTGTGGCAATCTATACCGTTCCATTAGCTGTCACCCAGCATTGACTCCGGCCAACGGACAGATGCATGGTAACAAGGTAATGAGATGCCACCTCCAGACAGGGCTTCAGTGGCAATGGGAACTGCCTGCTCTGAGTGGTGCAGGGTGTTTGGATAATAATCCTCCATCCCACTGAGCCTCTGGGTTCCATTACCAGCAGGGGAGAGTGGAATAAGAAGGGAAAACCTAAATTGTATAACTGCCAGCCAACTCCTGGGGAACAGAAAGAAGAGCCTGTAACAGCCCTCTGGGACTGTGTAATTTAAATTTGGAGAACAGAGGCAGCAGCGGGAGATGACTGTGACTATGCACACCAGGGCTGTGGGTTCTGAGTCGGCCAAGGGTCTTTTGAGAATGTATTGGAGCTATGGGGTAGGTCAGAAAAGATTTCGGGAGAGGGACCAGCAGTTAGAGTAATAGCTATGTCGCTGGACTCCCATGTGGTCGACCGCGGTTCGCGTCCCAGACCTGGTTGCTTAAAACTCACGCCAGGCACATGTGCGTGCGTGCCCAAGATCCTGAAAGGAGAATGGAGGAGAAGGGATTGTGGCATGGCCATCCCCCCTGGGAGGTGATTTCTCGCTTTCTGTCTCTCTGTCTCTCTCTGTCTGTCTGGCGAGCACATGCGACCTATAGCAAAAACCTCTCAAAAAAAAAAAGAAAAGAAAAAGATTTCGGGAGAGAAAAAGGGACCTTTTAGACACTCATCTGGTCCCTCTATTGGCATCTCACCCTTCCTATCACCCACAAGTCTCCTCGATAAAGGAGAAGACAGGGAACGTAGGACAGGAGATTCTTACGGAAGATCTTCACGTTGACGGTGGCCTCTGACTCAGTGCCATCCTCGCCGGTGACCACACACTTGTAAATGCCAGCGTCATCAATGTTGGCATTGTAGATGGTGAGAGTGGAAGAGGAATCGTCATTCCACACGACTGAGATCCGCTGCTGGTTCGGAGTGAGCTTCTCTCCATTGGGGGAGAACCATGAGATGTCTTTGTCTTTGGCATCTCCTGCCACTAAGGACGAAAAGAGAGTTTAAACTACTGAGCTCGAAAAGACCAAGTCCTCCCCATCCGGCCCCAGAGTGACAATGGCTACTCAGGAAAAGCTAACGAACAGTTAATCAAGGCTTAAGTATCAGGGAGGGATGGCTAGTTATTAGGTTGTTGGGAAAGTCCTGACGTATTTTTCTGTTTTTCTATGCAGAAATGTGTCATGACTTTCCCGACAACCCAATAGTTAGAATGTCACACAGCCCCACATTGGCTTCTGTGTTTAAATGTTTATACATGCGCGTGCGCGCACACACACACATGCACACACACATGCACACACACATACACACACACGCACACACACGCACACACACACGCACACACATGCACACACATGCACACACATACACCCACGCACACACATGCACACACACATACACACATGCACACACATGCACACACACGTGCACACACACATGCACACACACACACACACACATACACACACATACACACATGCACACACACATGCACACACACATGCACACACATGCACACATACACACACGCACACACACGCACACACACATGCACACACATGCACACACGTGCACACACACATGCACACACACATACACACACATGCACACACACACATACACACACACACACAAAATCTCATACTGTATTTGGATAGAACTCAATAGTCACCTAATGGTGATTTATGTGTGTGTGTATATCTGTATTTATATTTACATATATTTAATGCCAGAAGGTGCATGTGCTTGGCAGAAAGAGACAGAGAGAAGGAGAAAGCATCCCCGAATGGAATGCGGTCATACTGTAATCTCTTCTCCATTTCTCCACCTGTTAGGATTTCGGGCATGCAAACACATGCACCCAGCATGTTTTTCCAGCGCTGGAACAAGGATTCAAACTACATTTGGCCATGTGGGTTACAGTTCCCTTAATCATTAGGCTACAGGACCAACCCAAATGTTGGTATTTTCGAATTGTGAGGGAAAAGAGGAGATCATTGTTGAGGACTTTCTGTGGGCCAGGCACTCAGCTAGACACGCACATCCCTCTTGGGACAGGAAACAAAAGGAATGAAGATATCTGGGGTCCATCTCGAGGGTCCATTGCTTTGAGTCAAGAAGCAGATTAGTTTGTTTTCGAGAGATTAGATTCTAGTCCCCTGAGCTGAAGATGAGAAACTGGCTAGTCTAGGAGTGCAGATTCCAACCCTGATTCTAGCATCTGTCTGCACAAACCAGCATGGCTGTCCTTTTGGCACATCCTGTTTCAGACAAACTCATCTCCTTCCATGCTGCGAAGAAGGCAGCCCAAATCCCCCACGCCTGCTTTGCCAGGACCTCAGGGGGGCAGATCGCTGCTGCGGAGCTGCCTGACACGGAGCTGCACCGGAGGAAGGGCTCATGGATCCGGGAAACATGGCTTCGCCCTGCTCTTTGCATGGAGCCCTTTCCCGCCTGCACCACCCAGCCCTGCACAGATGCTTAGTATGGAAATGAAGCAGTCTTCCTTTCAGGGCCCATCATGTTTTCAATAAATATCGCTATTTGCAAGATGTGCTGTGGGCTCCGCGGCTGCATCTCCAGATCATTGAAATTGCTGGAATGAACGCAAAGCTGGAGTGAACACATCCGGAGGCCACCAGCCACATCCTCTGATGCAAATCATGACAGCATTTAGAGGCCCCTCCCTGCCAAAAGCAGCTTGCTAAATGTCACAGTTTACACCTAGCTCAGCGCTTTCCTGGTTCTTCCATGTTCTGAACCCAGTCTTGTCGTATACAGAGGATCCGGGGCCTAATTTGAAGTCCTTTCCTCCATAGGACATTTGCTGATAATTATCTCAGCTGTGAAAAGGGTATATTTTCTAAACAAGAAACAGAGACACCAAATCTGACATATCTCAGAGCCCCAGAGGGGGTCATGAGACAGAATACTGGTATTCTGGGGTTTACCTGGAAACCCCAAAATATGGAGGTGGGGGTGGGGTTCAAAATGTTCACAAAAAATGTATATGATGTGAAAATGATGCATAGATTTCAAAAACTTTTTCTACCAAGATAAACTCATACTTTAATTCCATTTTCCATTTACTTTTGAAGTCTCCTCAATATGCTTACCACAAAAGAGATACCAGTATTTAATTTACTTTTAGGCAAGTTTTAGACCTTCTTGTGTTTTCAAGCTCTGGGGGAATCCTAAGAAATCAGCTTTTTATTTATTTTTTTTTCCAGAGAGATTTTCACTATAGGGCGTGTGCGCTCGCCAGACAGAGAGAGACATAGAGACAGAAAGCGAGAAATCACCCCCCAGGGGGGATGGTCACGCCGCAATCCCTTCTCCTCCATTCTCCTCTCAGGATTTTGGGCATGCATGCATATGTGCCCGGCGTGAGTTTTAAGTCACCGGGTCCGGGACGCGAACCGCAGTTGACTACATGAGAGTCCAGCGACATAGCCATTATGCTAACTGCTCGTTCCTGTAAGAAATCAGCTTTAAACTGACCCATTCAAGCATTATTTGAAAGGCAGCACTGCCCTTTCTATTGTCATTTACAGAATTCTGGGTGGACACGGATGATCTGGAATGAGTCACCATTCTGGGAGTTGTGCTGATTTTCCTCACAAAACTCCTAGGCCTCGCTCTGCTTGTTGAGCAGAAGTCCAGGCAACATGTTTTACTAAGCTGGGATGGCCTTAGAGAGGGGAAGGGCAGCCTGAGGGCTTCCTGCCTCTTGAATAGTCACACCCTGCCCTGGAGCAGAGTGACCCGGGAATCCTCTGCAGGTGTAATCAGCCCAGCTGGCCTCTGCTCTGCTCCACGGATTTCTGAAGCAAGTTCTGAAACACAGCAGGGCACAGGGCACTTGCCTTGGCATAGGAAGAATTTGGACTCTCCAACGCTGATCTCCCCTTGGCTGGGAACAATATCCACCTGCAGAGACACTGAAAAAGACAAAGTCCAGTTCAAACATGCAGTTGAGTATTTGAGAACAAAATCCAGAGCTTTCATTTAAAAAATGAGGCCTCTCCCCCATCCCCAGCTCACTTTAAGAAAGACTGAAGGGGGCCAGCAGGTGGACTCCCATGTGATCTACCGCAGTTTGAGTCCTGGACCTGGAGGATTGCT